GAGGCTTGTTGGAGCAGGCCGTCCACCTTTGTTAGGCTGTATGGGTTGACCTTTGCTTTCCTTGGGGGTCTCGCAGCCTTCTTCTGACTCAGAACGCACAGCTTTATGTCGTCGACCTATAGGGGGATCGATCTCTTCCTCATTCGCTGGTGTTTCTGTATCAAGATCTTTTGAATCAATACTGACTAACAAACAACCACTGGGTCTCGATGTAGTATCCCACTGTTGGTCGGGAAGTTCTGTTGGATCGTGTCCCCACCACCTTTGCAGTTCCTCCTGGTCAGCTTGCGCCGAAGTGGTTCCCTTATTCCCCACCCCTTCCCCTAGCCCCAATCGCAAAGCTGTTACATATGCTGCAGTCTGTCCCTCATATGCCTCTAGCTCTCCACAGGTTCTAAGACAATGAAGAGCCCATAATCCCCGACATCTCTTCCCTCTAGACTGGAACCACCCACAGGAGCAGTATTCGCGAGCACTGGATTTCTTTATTCCACAGTAATGCGCGTTTTGCTTTCGCAGGCCGGACTCAATGGTGAAGGTTTCTTTCAAAGGTTCCAAGCGGCTGGGTATTTCTTCCGGATCACAACGCTTGAGCTGACCCAGCTGCCAGATCTCAAGACCCTTCTGGATCTCTTGTGTTATGTCGGGATCACATCGACCAGAAGTTGGGGGGGAATAGAGATACATTGGAAAGTAGATGTTGACAATAACGGCAAGGAGTTTATCGATTCGCTTATTGGCTCGGGCTTGTAGGAAAACTCTGTCGAAAGTCCTGAATGCCGCCTCAACAAAGTTGTTGGTAGAAAGCGGCCCATCTCTTGTGTGTTCGCGAGGAAGACCATAATCCATGAGACATTTGCGCCAGCTTTCGCTGAACCATTGAGTATTTAACCATCTGCGAATGGTCTCCCAATGTTCTTCGTCCCCGTCCAACAACTCCAGTACATCTGCCTCAAACTCTTCATACACTTCCTCCCACTCCTCTTCCACATCACACCTCTGACACTTTCGAAGGGCGGAGAGGAACCTAGATGTCTTCTCGCGACCAACCTGAGTTCGTCCAAGCCGTCTGTCCATCCTTTCCCTTGCTGCATGCATGAAATGAAATTGACAGAGACGCACAGGAGTTCCTGGGAAAACTGTGTGGGCTGCATTTCGCTCCGCGGCATCACAATCAATCATGACCATGAGGGGCCAGAAGCCATCCTCAGTAATGAGGATGGCATTATTGAGAATAATCTCCTTGTCTTCAAATTCGCTGATGACCTCTGAGGTACCATTCGCAAGAGCTTTTGCTTCCTCTTCCACAGCGTTTCGAAAGACAGAGAGGAGATGGGTGTAGGACGCGGTGGTGGCATGATTTGAGAGCATTACAGCCATTGGCACCATGTGATTGTGCTCATTGACAGTGGTGAGGAAGGTGACTGGACACCGAATTGCGTTTTTGTTCCTCCAAGAAGAGTCCATGGCTAATCCCCTTTCACGAGCATGGCGAATGGCAGTTTGAAGAGCGTGTTTGGGGCTAATCACACATTGGAAAGTGGCATTGGTGGGAAACTCTTCAGTTCCTCCAAGGACAAGATTGTGAGGGATTTCACAACTGGATATCAGCCTGGGTCAGGCGGCCCTGCGAATGTAACTCACCTGAGGAATGTTGATGGATTTGCTGAGTGGAGGACTTGAATAGCCGCCAATGGTAAAGTGTCCAGTCTGTCTTGCCTCAATGCTGTTCGTATGGCGGTTGCAAAGTCACTCTCTTTGGGCATCCTATGAGGACAATTGTCGGACAACCAAGTTGCATAAGGATGGAGCTTGGAGATACTGGTGAACCATCGAAGCTTTAGACGACTTTCAGTTGTTCCTACCAGTGTCGCAGCGTCATGAAGGATATTTCGCATGTGGTAGGATATCCGTAGAAGGCTCAGAGGTTTTGGATCCCCATGGTAGGAAGGTAACGGCTGGATAATTGTGCAATATCCTCTGCGAATGCTTCTAGGAGTCATTCGCACCTGCGAATAAGCTCAACTCATCTCTATACAAGAGTCATGACTCACTTCAACACACAGTGGACATCTGCGTTTGCGAATTGTGGTCCTTTTTGTCTCTACAGGATCCTCTTTGCCTTGGAGACTCCCCTGATCCTCCTCAGCCCACTCATCCCCCTCTGTCCCTTCGTTTCTATTTCTTGCCTCACTCCCCTCACTGCCCTCATGCCCCTCACTCCTTTCCTCTGTCCTCTGTCGTTTTCGTAAATTCCTCTTTGGACGTTGTTGTACTGGAAGTGAGGTAGGTAGGGCTTGAACTTGCTGGCAGCTACCACTGCAATTGAACCTCGAGCGCCATACCAACTTATCAGGACCTTTTGCGAAGGCCTCATCTGAGACATGGAAGACTGCGTGACGTCCGCGAATGTCACTTGGGTGAAGTCCTGGAGGATCTAACCACTCCACCTTGACATGGTTTGATACTCTTTGTGATCTGAGGAGGTAGTCCTGTGTCTACGGATGTCAGTAATGTTACCAGAGTGATAAATAACTCACCATCATGTCAAAAGCCTTAGGAATAAGGTGAAAAGCTACCTCAATCTCCTCGTAACGCTCATCCTGACCAATATCATTCGCAGAAAGCACACAGAAGTTCTTCACTGCAGTGATGCCAGGACCGAGGCTGGCTTTTGTGCGTACAGTGTTGAAAGTGGATGGCTGCTGCTCCTGGAGTGATGGTGGAATCTGAGTACTTTCGAGTTCAATGATAGTTCGATTCCTCAAAGCTTGCTCGCGAATTGAGGTATAATCAACCTTTTGCGTGGTTGGAGGATGCGAAAGGGTAGACAGGCTTGTCACATAGCCTGAAAAGTGTGAGGTTGAGGTGGAGGGGGGCAGGTATGTTGTGGTTGTGTCCGTTTCAGTGCCTGGGTCATGGGTATTGGGTGTCACAACTGCGAAAGGTTAACAGAATACACTGATTGAAGAAGACCTCACCATCAGATTCATATTTCCTCTTCCTCAAGTGCGAACGGGGAATATGAGGTGTGCGAACGTTGCCAACAGGATGATTGGGGATTGAGTGGGGCCTTACAGGGTAAGGAGAGACTACAGAGACTCAGCAACTGGACACCTGAATATGTAAAGAGAATTCTGACCTTGATTCGCAGTGTTCTTCGCATATCCTGCCCCCCTTGCTTCTCCCTCTCCCTCTTTCCCTTCCCTTTCCTCTTCCTTCTCTTTATCTTTGATCTTCTCTGGCTGTCCATCTCGGCCTTTCTCCACTGCTGGATCTACTTCCATATCCAGTTGGTCAGAGATAAACTCAAAGTCCTGAAATTGTTCAAGGACATCACGACCATTGTCAAAGTAATCGTTGTCAATTGCTTGTTGTTTTTTCAGCTGTTCTTGCTCAAGCTGGTGAGCCTCAGAGCCCTGAAAAGGGAAGTTGTGAAAGGCTTCCAGGACATCACAGGTATCTTGCTCTGTAAAAGGGTCGTTAACTGTACAGAATCAACATAACATAATTCGCGAACGACTTTATAAACTCACTGTTGCCACTCTTTTTTGAAGGTTTAGCGGTACCTAAACTGACATCCTGACCAAGCTGACGCTTTGGGACTTTTGTGGGAGTTCCTGAGGACTGATCTTGGTATTTTCGAGCTGGTCTACCAGGTGTTCGCTTTACTGAAGCGTTCAATACAAGTTGATGAGCCAAAGACCGTGGTGTCATTGAAATTATAATGCAAATGAGGTATGTGAGAACATGTGTGAAGAGATAAGTAGCTAAGCAAGTCCAGGAGGTGTAAATGTGCATACAGCATTATTCACAGATCGCCCAGAGTGTCAATACGCCCATTAAATGAGAGTTGGGTGATCTGCAAGGTCAGTGCGAACCGGCCTGCGAATTCAACTGTGAATGAATAAACCCCTTCGCGAATAATGCGAAGTCACACATTTATGGACAGTGTAGACCCCTGGGAGTCAGAAGATATGCAGCAAGCCATGGTAGGAGGTTCTAGTAACAAGTGAGGGGTTTTTCTGCTTCCAAGATGGTAATGTGGAAGGAGTGGGGTGAATAACGGGTTGAGTGGGGGGTTTTTCGGATGAATTGCAAAAATGGGGTGAAAATAATTCAAGAGGTGGGGGGATTATCCCTACGCGCCGCAATCTAGACGTTGATACCACGTGGCTATTGTCGCCGTTAATTGTGGCTCGAATAAGTCTTAGCCCAGCAACCGCCATATGGCACCCTGAAGGGACAAACACTCTTACTCCGCTCGGACCCTCGTTTTTTCTCACTTTCGCTTTCGGGGTGTTTCATCCCTTCCGTCTTTTCCTCTCTCTTTACCTTCTTTTCTTTCCTTTCCCGTATCACTTGGCATATCAAACTACAATACAACAGCTTTACACTCTTTATCCGTCTTTCTTTTACCTATACACAGTGAACAGTCGAACATCCAATCAATACACCTTGAGGATCATCGATTGGTAGGGAACACCGTACTACATACACAATACATCACGTTGACAAAGGACGTCTCATCGTTGGACAATAAACCAGAGAGAGAGTCAGAAAGACATCACAGAAGGAAGATCATAGGACCATTGGGATAATAGGATTATTGGAAAGAGAAAACACACAATATGAAGCTGTTAGCTACTATCGGTTTGAGTGCGGTCGTCTTGGGGGTCAGTGCGCAGGTGAGTCAACCCGTATTCCACTGGTTGCGTCTACTATGGAGAAATCTCATGAGATGGGTGGTGAGAAAGGAGGACTGGAGATGAGGGGTCATAGAGTTCTTTCTCCTCCACATCAAATCTTGTCTACCTTGACCAATTTCACAACGACGCTCCTGATGATAGGTCATGGTGTTTGCACTTGGGAGTAGGACGGTCAAGCTTCTAGCTAACTCACAGAACATCACCCTCATCCCTACCAACATCACTTCATCATGTACCACCTTCCTCACCTCTCTCAACTCCGATCTCACCCTTCAAAGTTGCATCGGACAATTAATCAACATCACCTCCGCATTCACTCCCACGCCTTCTGGTTCTCCCAACGTATCGCAAAGCGATATCAACTTTGCTCTTGCCGCAATGTGTAATGACAAGGCTAAATGCCAAGATAACGTCATTCGTGGTTGGCTCTCACAGTTTTGGTCCACTTGCAACGTCGAATTAACATCTTCCGGTCAATCTAATTCTCAAGTCCGTGACCTTTACGATCTACTTTATGCTTTCAACCCCATGGTAGCCGCTGTTTGCGCCATCGATTCTGCCAATCAAGAGTATTGTATAAACGAAATCAAACAATCATCATCTTCTTCTTCTTCTGCATCTTCCTCTGCTCCGTCTGCTTCTTCCACCGGAACGGATGATGTAGTAACAGGAATCAGCAACAATACTCTTTTAGCCACAGTGACAACAATCGACGCTGTAGAATTGGCAAGACAATATCTTATAATCCCTCTTACATCAACCTCAATAACTAAACGTCTTCTGTCTTTATCACTTTTCAAAAACCGTGATTCTGCTCAAGTCGTAGAAGCCGCCACTTTGATCGCTCCAAACACCACGACATATAGAAATACTATGCTCCCATTCTTGTTCCTACAACCGGATATGAAAGCAGCTCAACTCTGTACACCCTGCGCAAGAGAGGTCATGGTCAGTTACGTCAAATTCGAAGCTGCTTATCCGTACACTATGGGATTAGCATCAAGTGCTATCCTTGGAGGTCAGCCAAAATTGTGGAATGCGATCAACGGGACTTGTGGACCGAACTTTATAGCGGCGATAATGAGTCAAGTAGGATTGAGCTCTTCATTAGCTACCAACGGTAACGGATCGGCCAGTGCGGCAGGTAGGAGATTGGAAGGTTTGAATGGAGGTTTGGTGAGTGTGTTGGGAGGAGTTGTGGGTATCGTAGGGTTGTTGGGTGGTTTGATGGTGTTGTGAGGGAATCATCTTATTTGGTTCTCGGAGGTTCAGGGGTGGGTGGGTGAGAAGGGAGGGATGGTCAATTGTCGATTTGAGATCGGAATGGCGAGGATGAGGATGATCTGTTGAGAGAGGGAGAGGATATAGTGCAATGTTTGCATAGGAGGAGGTAGAGAAAAGAATAAGGATGGACAGTTGTTTTTTTGTTATACCCAAAGACAGAGATCAGTGATCAGAGATCTGCAATGATGGATGTGTGATGTTGTCACGTATCACAATTGACTAATTGTACGAATAGAATATTCTTCAACAACATCCTCTGAAAACCTACTTATCTAGTTCTAGTTGCATGGTTGCATGTTGCAACTTTCAACATCTGCCCCATATCCGACCACTCTACAACTTTCTCACCATCACAACCACTAAGTTCCTTCAAGAACTCTCTGTTCCTGACTGACGAACCGCTTTCCTTCCATCGGTAAACTATAAGTTATACTGAGTGTAAGTATTCTGTGTACTGAGTGTGGTTGAGGTCTCGGTGTATCGGTGTGAACCGAAGAAAACGTCATCGTCGTTTCGTCGCTTGGTCATCTAGACTCGTCACCTCGTCAAAATAATCAACTTCCGTCGTTCCCTCTCCCTCTCACTCTCTCTCTTTCTTCTCCTCTTTCTCAGTTTGGTGGTAGTGACAATTTGCAACTTTGATACAGTCTCAAGATCGAACGTTATTACATTTTCGACAATCAAAGGTGAGTTCATAAATCACTTATACCTGATTTCTTTATACCATCTAGACCATCAACCACCATCTTCAGAACCGTACCAGGCATTCAGAATCACTTCACCAAAGTGGCCCACATTCTGTAGATCAACTGCACAATCCACCAGCAGCTAGCAGCTAAAGAAAGCCGAAAATTTAGTGATCTAAAGACGTGATATGGACGTTGAAATGGATTATGGTGTTGACCACTTTTAGGAGTTCGAAGTGAAATGACTACACATCTAAAACATTTGAAAGTAGCTCCTAAAGATGTACATACATCAACTATCATCTTTCTTCATGTAAGTTTTTATCTTTTCTCTACGTCTAGGTCTGTTTGTAATTGATGATCTGTTTGAGAGAAAGTCTTTTATTTTCTAGTGTACTCGAGGATATTGAAAAGTCCCCCATCCCCCTGGATACCGGAAATACTACCTTCTACCTCCTACATGCTACTATGCTACTTGGGGTGATCTTCATGATCTCATTGGTCATTCGAAGATCTGTGTGGAAATTCGACATCTTTCTGAACCCATGCTCCCTCTCTCCCCGTGTGAAAGACGAAACTCACTGTATCTTCATGGGATCGATCTTGAGATAGGTTCAAGCTGATATTAGGGTCTTGGGGATAGCGGTATGTCTCTCATTCAATTTCACTTCATCATTTCAAATTCTCTATCAGTATCGATCCTGATCATGAAACGAATAATGTTTCAATACTGCAATAATCTTTGTCGGACGAACATCGCTTGGGGCTTTCGAAATGTTCATACCTCCACTCCATCCCACTTCCACACTTGTATATCCTCCCTTCTCACGTTGCGTCAGCGTTTAAAACTATTCCTAGAGAAGGAAACAACTTACACAAATAGGACATGGTTGGTTACCCGTCGCAAAACAATTATGGACAAGATTCCCAAATGTGAAATGGATATTACCTCATGCTCCTACTATTCCTATTACCATCAACGGAGGTGAGTTATGGATCCTTCTTCTTGTTCCCATTTTCTCCCTCTGTCCCCACTCCTTCGCTAAGATTCCTCCGACAGTCTATGGCTCTTGTGCAACATCTAATTCTACTCCCGACTCATTTCTTCATCCCTACACCCAACCCATCTCTTCATTCATTCACCTCTTGATCTCTACACCTCCTCCATCCCTTCATTTTTTCATCTGTACAGCTCGTCCATCTAATCAGGCTCGTCCCATCTAAGAGCGAAAGCGAGAAGTCCACTTCAAATTCTATGACAAAATGTTCACATCCAGGATCTCGTATGCCAGGATGGTTCGATCTCTCCACTCTTGATCGTCTTCTCGATCCCACATACGACGACGAAAGAGGTCTATTATCATCCGTCTCCGCCGTTGACGCTTTGATCCAATCTGAAGTAGATGCGGGTATACCGGAAAATAAAATTATAGTGGGGGGTTTTTCACAAGGAGGAGCTGTGGCTTTATTACTTGGTTTGACAACTAGAAGAAGGTTAGGAGGTGTAATTGGGTTAAGTACTTGGGTTCCGTTGAGTCATAAAGTTGGACAGGTGAGTGAAGTCTCCTCCTACTTTAACCCCCCGGTCTGTACTTCTCTTCACTGCCGGCGTCTCATTAAGTGCGTCTGGATACACGTCGACCCTTTTTGGTCAAGTACAATCTACCTCTTACGTCTCGGTATCCTCATTCCCCCTGAGAGAGAACTGATTCAAAGATGGTATCTTCTCATGCCACTGATACACCAATTTTCTGGGGACATGGAAAAGATGATCCTATAGTCCATTATACCTGTGAGTAATTCTCCTTTTCCATTCCCCGTCTTCTCTTAATCCCAAGTGCACCGTATACTCCCTTCCCTTACTCCAAGTCTACCATTCCCTCCCTCCCCTTACTCCCAAGTCCACCATTCCCTCCCTCACCTCAAATCCATCCACATTCTTCACCACTCTTCTTTCACTTCCTTCTACATATCTCACCACCTTCTCCCATATCGTAGATATGCACGCTGACACTCAGTCGGAGAAATGTCATTGGAACTCCTGACCAAACTGGGTTATCCCAGAGTACCCAACGGCACCACATTCTCCCGCCCTGGAATCAGGTTCGAAGGTTATCCTCGTTTAGGTCATTCATCTTCTCCTACGGAATTGACAGATATGTCAAATTGGATCACGGAAGCTCTGAGGTAAGATGTTTCCGGATGACAAGTAGTAGTAGAGTATGTATTGTCATTGTTACTGTACTCGTATGACTGTGCCAGCAGTACTCGTCCCTCGATGTTTTTGTAGAATACTCGTATGTATAACAAAAGTGGAGGTCGACCACTTTCCCCCCACCCTTCCCCACCTCCCCCACTCTCATTCGCCATCCTTCAACGTTCGATATTCGCTTTCAATTTCGATTCGCACGTGTGGAAGAAGTTATCTCTTCACCACTTGCAATCTGCAATCTGACTCGAACATCTTACTACCTGATTGTCTTGGGGATATCGAGGACGATGTCCGACCCAACCTCGCTCGCTCAGAATTCTACCACCCAAGAAGGTGAGTCCCTCTTCTTAAATGACATGATATTGACGGAAGGAGATTCCCCCGATTCGTTGATAGATCACATCGTTGTGGAACCGAAAGAAGAACATAAATCAACCATCATCTTTCTACATGTACGTCGTCTTGCGTACCCCACCCTCACTTCGACGACCACGGATTTTCCTATGACTACTCGAGTACTGCTACTTGTTCTTGTGATGGATTATGTACATGTCACTCGAAGTAAACTTTCATGATGACTTTTTGTACAGGATTGGGACTGGAAAGTTTTAGGAGATGATGAATTAAGATGACTCGGAGGTGGTGTCGATGGTGGTAAGAGCTGATGATTAGGGTCTGGGAGATTCAGGTGTGTCTAAACGATCAAGTTACCTCTTCATCTTATCCTTGAATGGCGTCTTACCAATTTAACTCCATTCATTTCATTGTATTGTCTTACCTCTGACCTCTTAATTCGAACGTTCAAGTCAAATAAGTTACTCAATCATCGAATCTCTATGGTCATGGCAACAATGTCGATACTTGTAATCTGGCCAATCTCCGTTCCTAACGTCCGAACCATCGAACATTGAACATCACTCTCCGGCGATTTGATGCTCAATACAGAAGGTTTCATGAGATGACAAAGAATGGACTCTGATGTTCGTCCCAAGATGAGCTGAGCTGAAATGATAGGAGATGGAATGTTAGAACTTGCAGATTCATTCTACGACGAACATCCTAATCTAAAATGGATATTACCTCATGCTCCTATTTTACCAATCACCATCAACAGAGGTAAGTTTGTATTTAAAGTGTTCCAATCTTTTACTTCTATTGAAATACTTGTGAAACTTATTTATCAATCAGGAATGGAAATGCCAGGATGGTATGATCTCATAACTCTTGATCCTGAACTCATCCTCGATCCGGAATATCATGATGAAGAAGGTCTTCATTCCATTGTCCAAACTATCGACGAGATCATTCAAGCCGAAGTTGACTCTGGGATCCCAGAAAAGAAGATCTTAGTGGGAGGGATTTCTCAAGGTGGTTCGGTAGCTTTGTTATTGGGTTTAACTACAGAGAGAAAGTTGGGTGGGTTGATAGGGTTAAGTACTTGGATACCTTTCGGTAGGAATGTGGAGATGGTAAGTTTGGTTTCCAAATTTCTCTCATTATTGTTTAGCAATAAATTTAATCTGTGCGATTGACTTTCAACTTTTAGGGTGTTATAATCCACTTTTGTGTTATGATTCACTTGGGATATTTGGGATATTTCATATAGTGTCTGATCGTTTCTCCACTAACTTACTTGTTTTAAACACTTGGAGGATAATGAATTCGAGAATATGAGTGAATGAGAATGTTTGAACATCATGTTTAGTTACTAGTATTCGTTTGATCAAGTCAACTCGGGATTGTGGTGACGTATGAAATTGGTACTCATGTTGACAAGACAGATCATATCTCGTCAAGCTAAAGAAATCCCAATTTTTTTAGCTCATGGGAAAGAAGATCCTCTCGTTGTATATTCCAGTAAGTTCCTCGTTCCTCAAATATCTTACCACATCTCCCCATAACCCCCACTATCCATCCGACTTTATCCATCTTGAACAAAGATAACCTCAATAACTCAACACCGCAATCATACTCATACTCATACAATTCTTTCTACTCCCATGATCTCATGAAACTTTGATAATCGACCATCATCCTCTTCTGACAATTTCGACATGATCATCTTTCACAATTTCGACATGATCATCCTTCCTTTCAAGAAAACTAAAGACTCAATCAACCAAATTAACTCTCAGTCGCTGAATCTTCACTTTCTTTACTTACAAAATTCGGTTGTCCACAATTAGACTCTACCACCACATTCGTCAGACCGGGAATACGATTCAAGGGTTATTCACCTTTGACACATTGGTTCGGAGATGAAGAAATTGATGATTTATCTGAATGGGTTGGAGAGGTTTTGAAAGATTGAGAAAAGATGTATAAAGGTTGTTTTTCATTCCATTTTTGATAAGAGAGGTGTTGTGTATGTATATCATGTACATTTGTTTTCACGAGGCTGACCATAACTCTTTGACAGAAGATATATTTAGGATATCTCACTCAACATGATCCATTTGACGTTTTTGTTCCTCGCCGAAGATACCACTCTATCAAGGTAACTTATCTTATTATTCATCCGAAATATCATCTACTGTACACAGTGTGTACACCTCATATCGGTATACATATTGACATATCTGTACGAGTACTCCAGTTCACAAGTTGCTCGAGCAGACCTTCAAACCTCATCTCTCTTGTTGTAAAACATCATTCCAATCAATCTTTTCCGTATTGATCTAGTAGAGTACTCTGATTGTATCTTATGAACGTGACTGAAATGGATAACAGTATATTATCAAATAAAACCTCATGCATACCATATCTTATCAAGTCCCATTAACACTCTCTCCATCAGGTATCAAACCTTCCGCTAACATTCTCTCCAATCTTCTTACTTCTTCAGCCGTTTTCGCTCTGGTCAAAGCTTCCACCACCCTCTTTTTCTCATCAGGAGTCATCAATCTACCTTTCCCACCTTTTCTTCCTCCTTCAGCTCTAGGACCACTAGGTGGTAGATTTGTAAAAACCGTTTGTTTTCCCATTGGTGGAGCTGATAATTTTCTCCATAATGCGTTAGGTAAACCGGAATCAGGTTCGGTGAATAGTTGTTTGGCATTGGATCGTTCGGAATCTTTTATTCGGGTGAAATCAAGAGTTCGTAAGTTTCCCGAGGCGATGGTGTGGATTATGAATGGTCTGTAATGGTCTACTTGGGTGATGGGATTTTGAAGTAAGGAGAGATGTCGGAGAGATGTCAGGGTGGATAAGGGGAGTAAGGAGGAGAGGGAAGAGATGGAGTTAGATGTGAGGACTGGGAGTCAGTAGGGGGTATACTTTTAAATTTGTATCGAATCAAGGAGGTAGAACTCACTTAATGTTGTCAGATTAGGTATCTGACATGAGCACATGTCAACGAGATTGAGTCTGACTCACATTAGGAGGTAAGGATGGTGATATTGATGAGATTTGATTTTGAGCGATATGTATGACTTCTAATCTTGGTGCTGGATGTCAGTCGTGCGTAAACTATGACATCTTCCCCATCTTCATCCTTGCCTCGCGTCAAATCGGTCACATAACGTCCCGAATGAACCATCTTCCCCTACACAGCTCGACACTTCTGTAACATCCACTCGATCCCCAGTGACATCTCGTTACCAAATCTCCCGAGATTCGACCCTGCTCGTAGACCAGGAATTGTGAGAACCAGTGTCAATACCGATTCTCTCAACATCCATTATGGTTACAAGCCGGAAAAGCCATTGTGACTCATCCTTGATCAGCATTCCCCCTGATTGGATTGTCTTAAAACGGATTGGAATGATTGAAATGTCCTTCTGCGTGTTATTTTCTAGATGAAAGAAAGGGGACCCACAAAGAGGTATGTTCCCCAAAACGGTTATTGAATTATCTGTAAGGTTGAGAACATCGTATGTTCCCTGATGTGATGCGAGATTTTCAATGACGGGTATTGCTAGTCCTGATAATCAGTTTACCGCTTGGGGAAGTATATGACTAGCTGACCTCGGAGCTCCAATTCACGCTCTTTGAGAGGGTTTAGATACTGAAGATTAGCTGTCTCCCAAATTGTATGATTACTTCTGGAAGAATGTTCATCCCTGTTCTTCCTCGACCGCGATCTCTATCTTCGGTATGTACTTCTCATCCCTCGTCCGTTTCAAATCACCCTGGAAGTGGATGATATTTTTCGGGGTGTGAGACCAAACTCACTGATTGTGATTTTGAAACAAACTGAATGTCAGCTTCGGCACGTAGTGAAATTGCGAGCAACTGACCTCTGGTGTCAACCGCATGGTTCAACCTGCCTATCGACTCGCGAGACTGGAGACTCCTGAAGATACGAAAGTCCTCCCTTTCCTACTTTTGAGGTAGTTCTTGCCCTTCTAAAGATGTTACAGGGCTTTTATTGCGAGTGCTTGTCGAGTTGTATCACGTATAGCCAACGGAGAAATCTAAAGTCTTGACATATGCTCAACGGCGTTATCGCAAACACCGACATATCTCACCTGAGTGGCACTTGTCCCCCCCACGCCTCCTTGACGTGGTCCAAGCGTTTGTTCACCAACGCATTGACCGCCCTCTCCCCCTACATTCCTTCTCTTTCCTCTATTCTCTCTTCTTCACTCTTCCTCTTTCTTGTTCAGATCAGACATACAAGTCGCTTGGTCGTCCTCTCTCTCTCTTTCCTCTCACAATGTCAGACGCATACTACCAACAACCTCTCTCCCCTACCGCAGACAGGTCCATGTCTCCTGGCGCTTATTCCAACGACGCCCGTTCTCGTTCAATGAGCGGTGCAAGAGCTGTCAGTCCTTACGGCGCTGCAAACAACACTGCTTCACCCGCTCCAGCTGCTGTCAATGCAGGAGGGATGGATGGGAAGGGTACGGTCAATAGGAAGAAACTTTCCAGTTGGGTCGGGTTTTCCAACCTTCCTAACCAGGTGCACAGACGTAGTCTACGGTATGTCAACGACTACTCTTTAGCCTCATCATGTCAAAGCATATCTTTTATATCTTGCGTAACTCAGCTTTGCAATTTGACTGGGAGCTGACCATGCAGTCGGGGTTTCCAATTCGTCGCCATGGTAGTCGGTACGTTTTTCACATCTCCACGCTCGGGCCTCGCTTTCTCGAGCTATCACGATGAGCTGCAAGGTCACAAGACGCCATGTGTCTTAACGCATGGTAATATAATACCCTGGTATCTTGAAGAGAGGCGCAGAGGAGAGATCGACCGATGCTGATTCCAGGCGAGTCGGGATTGGGAAAGTCTACCCTGATCAACACGCTCTTTGAGACGAAACTCTATCAACCAAAGGTCATCCCACTGCCGGGACAGGAGAGACCGAAGACTGTTGATATCACGAGTATCAGTGCTGGTGAGTAAGCGATTATACTTGATCTAACCGAATCTCACACACGTACCCCCTCAACAACCCCCTTTCGTCCTCCTAGGAGCAAGGACCGGTGGTACAAATTTAGGGAGTGAACGAAGGAGAGCTGATTTTTTAGAAATTGAGGAGGGTGGTGTCCGCCTCAAACTCACTGTCGTTGATACCCCTGGTTTCGGTGATTTCGTCAATAACGAGGACAGGTAAGCATCACCATCTTCTCAGCCTCCCACACGCACAAGCTGATGGACAGCTGGCGCCCAATCGTGGACAACATCGAATCACGATTCGATCATTATCTCGAACAAGAGAACCGCGTGAACAGGTCCAAACTCAGTGACAACCGAGTCCACGCATGTATCTACTTCATCCAACCTACAGGCCATGCGTGAGTCACCTGTTCGGTTTCACGCAATATCTTCAACCCCTGCTTTGACCCTCGTGAGCTGACAGCCAGCCTTAAACCCATTGACATCGAATTCATGCGTCGCTTGCATACCAAAGTCAACCTGATCCCCGTCATCGCCAAAGCCGACACTTTGACAGAAGAGGAGGTGCTCTTGTTCAAACAGCGGGTCAGTTGATGAACCACCGTAGCTCTGAGTCCGACTGACCGCACAGATTCTCAGTGACATCCAGCATCACGGAATTCAAATTTTCCACCCTCCCGCCTACGACAATGAAGACGAGGAAACGGTCATGGAAAACGAAGAGATAATCGTAAGTGCTCATTTCTCGTCCTCTTCTCCTCGGTCAAATCGTCCAACCTCTTTCTTGGCTGTCGAGGAAGTAGAGTTTTCGGGGCACTGCTAAGAACGCAGAGCAAAGTACCTTTTGCAGTTGTTGGTTCCGACGCCCTCGTCACCGGTGCCGATGGTCGGAAGGTCCGCGGGCGGGCTTATCCATGGGGTATCATCGAGGTCGATAATGAGACGCATTGCGACTTTGTCAAGTTGCGTCAGATGTTGGTCCGTACGCATATGGAGGAGCTGAGGGAACACACGAATGATGTTCTATATGAGAACTACAGGACAGACAAACTCAAGAGCATGGGTGTCTCGCAGGACGAGAGTGTGTTCAAGGAGACCAAGTGGGTGTTCTGCTTGTTCTCATGTTGCTCCATTCTAATATATGACCCCCTAGCCACATCACACTTCAAATTATCACTGCCCAGCAGTTCGATTCGCGTACTGCCTGGACCTGAGTGTCACTCAAAAATGCTCCCAATTCTGTCTTGGATCCAAACGCAGACATGCTGATAACAGTCCCGCTGTCAAGCAAGCCGAGGAAAGAGCCATGTACGACGCCAAGCTTGCCAAGATCGAAGCAGAGATGAAAATGGTCTTCCAGCAAAAAGTGCAAGAGAAGGAACAGAAGCTGCGACAATCCGAGGAAGAGCTGTACGCTAGACACCGTGAGATGAAAGAGGCGTTGGAGAAACAGCGACTCGAGCTGGAGGATAAGAAGAGGAGAGTGGAAAGTGGCCGACCACTCACACCTGAAAAGGGATCGGTGAGTGACTGTCACGGTCTTCAACGTTCTTCCATTTGTTCTTCTCCCCCTTCCCGATGCTGTTCAAGAGCATTCACTCGTGTCATTTCATTCCGCGTCCCGTGCTGCCAAGTCACTATGAAGGGATTCATGTTGCAAGGTAGCTGACCATGCAGAAAAAACGCTTCGGCCTTGGCAAGTAGACCCTCCTGCCAACGTATCACACGGACTCGCCCTTTACGTATCTCGCACTTGTTCATCGCCCCTTAGTTTCTCCCTCGCCCTACCCCACCCACTAAACATACCCTTACGACCTGTGAAGAACCTTAACGACTCCAGAGGGAAGGTGGGAGATTATTTGTGATGCTGCGTATCATGCAGATAGTTTCTTTCTGAATGGACAGCTTCGCATCGAGCGTCATTGATTTCTTCTCACTGTATCCCCTTTCCCACGTGGTAGACTCCTCATTGGCTCGTCTCCCGGCGTCACCCACTCGCCCCGATTGCTGACTACTAATACACAGGTCTAGATGACACTTCTCGTTCCCATTGACACTCCATTTCGGCCCCGTATTTCCTTGATCGCATCTGATTGTTCTTACGGAGAAGGAAAACCTGCAAGACATTGGACGAATGACAAGGGTATCATCCCCTCTGACAACACTCTACGAGCTCACAAACAAAAGTGAAACATCATGGGACATATGAAGTTTTACATCAGCAGCAACCGTTGTCCCCTCACGCTCCACAACCATGCCAAGGACAGTGGGAAAACCTCTTCAATCAAGAAATGAATGCAAAGAGCCATACGAAACGGTCTCCTTCCCGTCATCCCTCTACCTTCCTTTGACGTCTTCGGCAAGGAGAGTCCTCCGACACATGTGGTCAGCCGTTAGGTCAAAGGATAGGAGACAGGTGACCCGGGTGTGCACACGAGGGTCTGGCCACGTCTAGCTAATATTATATGGGTCAATTCTGATTGTGATTTCTTGGGTTTGTTGACTTTATTGATTATCTAGGGCTGGGCCCATACCAAGTTATATATATCTCTTCCCATATTTCTAAGTGTTTAAGCCTGGCGCTTCTCATCTCGGCGATTGTCGAAGTTGTCGGACTATTTCATCGAGACGATCACGGCTGGACTGAATCTATTCCAGTCCTCTCAACAGACAATTTTTCTCTGGTTTGACGCTCAAATTCAAGTGACAAGTCGGTAATTCGCGTCATGTTCCTCTTTCACATCAGCCGTGGAAAGACGATCGATTTCCTTCAAGTGTTGGGGTTGTTCGTCTTTGGCTTAGGAATCAGGGTCGAAGGACGTCAAGTCACGGTCAAGAATTCTTGTGGTGGTACGGTTTACGCTGCTTATGCCGGTCAAGGTGGTCAAGTGACAGGTGTCAATGGAGCTGTTGCTCCTGGTGGATGGGAGATGGCGGGTGGGGCGTCAACGGTCTTGAACGTGCCCGAAGGATGTGAGTTGACTTCTCATGTACCTTCTGCTCCTACTCGGGACTCCGCCCTTCCTTACCACTGTAGTTCCGAAAATCTTTCGTTCAAATAAATCGTTGCTCAAACACTTTTTTCCTTCAATGGTATTCCGCCTCTACCGCCTACTGTGCGCTGGAATGTATCCGTGTGGAATCGATGGATAGTTTCTTGACGGTCGAGGTGATGTAGTCGGGACAAGAGACTTTGCAAGTGATGACGGGCGGAATATTGATGTGACTGACGAATAGGGCATAACGCCAGGATCTGGGCACGGACGGGTTGTCAATCCGGTGGAGGAGGATGTCAAGTTGGAGCTTGTAAGAGTGGTTCTGTGACTTGGTGAGTTTCCCCATATGTCCTCTGAACTACCTTCATTCCACGCTTTTTTCACCACCATGTGACTACATGTCTTATCACCTCACCCGATGTCACAAGACGTCCGCCTGCACGTACTGTACACTCAACTTCACCATCGGACTGCGTATTTCCCACTCACAGTTTTCGTATTCTGGTTCACTGTCTCACTATTGAACTATACCATTTTCGTTTAACCCTTTCATCACCCAATTTTAAGTCTCTCTGGCGAATGACGAATGTGAGTTGATAGACAGCGATGGTGCAGAGTATGGTACAACAGGAGCAACTGTGAGTATTCCGATCATATTCCGCATCTCATACATCGTTCAAATGAGATTCCTTTCTCTGGAATTTGATTTCACTATGCGATCCTATGAATTTTTCTTCCGTCATACTTGGCCTGATATTATCCGAGGGGTGAAGGTGAAGAGGGAAGGAGAACAAATAATGCAATGAGATCTGATGAACAGTTGGCAGAATTTACTCTGGTTCCGACTTATGAGACGTATGATGGTAGGTTCTCCCCCTGTCATCCACTTTCATTTCCCGCTCGTACATCCGAAATACGCTCTCTTCCGTTCTGGAACCTTCATAGAGCAAGGACTCACTTTTGACTTAATCGGATGTCATTTGTATATGGACGTGACACGTCTCTTTATTCAGGATGAAAGCTAATCAGCAGTGTCCATGGTAGATGGTCAGTCCTGGTTCTTTCACTATCCTCCGCCGATATATGACTTCACTCAGCAGTCATATCACCCGATACTTCCTACTCCTTCCATGTCACTCAAAACACCTTGGGTCTCACATTGACTCGAGCTCCTCATGGATTGAGATGAGGAGAGAAATGTGCTGGTACTCACATCCAGGCTACAACATCCCGATCGCTATCACTCCCTCTGGTGGGACCTCTGGAACGTGTAGTGTAGCTTCTTGTGGTACTACCACCGATATTTTGACGGATTGTGATCCGAACCTTGTGTTTCCAAAGGGAAGCAGTGAGATATGTAAGTTTTGTCAACCTATATCACCTTCATATCACAAACCAATGCAAATAAAACATTTTGCTCAAGTCATGTAATCGATTATATGGATTGCTGACAAGTAGGGAGTTGTCAAAGTGCATGTGGTGCTGGTATAGAATTCGGTAAGTTTTGCAGCTCGCCGTATACCTGTTCCTTTCCACCTATTCATCTCTCTGAACTCAGAACCATTACATCATCATCGCGAAATCGTTGCGCCCCAGTTGTTTTTGTTAAGGAAGAGCGTAGCTGACTCGTAGCCTCATTACATACGGGTACATTCGATCCCGCCAACTCGCCTACTTGTTGTAATGGTAACTGGGCAAATGACTGTCCTACCAGTAACATACGTCCGTCTTTTTCTTTGTTTACTTTTGCCTTGAGATAGCTGACAATTAGCCTATTACGCTGCTCTGAAGGAGAATTGTCAGATGGGTTATGTGTATGCTAAAGAGTGAGTCTCCGCAACTTTTCTGATGCTGTAATCCTATCTCATAATGGTGGATGATCACTCGTCTCGGGATCGGTGTATGATTTGTCCTCATTCCGACGTGATGTGGTTCGTGAAATACAAGTAGAAAAAGAGAAGGTTGAATGGGATGTAGATGCTGATGAGGTAGTGATGCCAATAACGGCGCCTTGAATTGTAACGGACCATCCGTGCGTACTTCACTTTCCCGACCCTTCTTCTACTCCCGTTTCTCTGTATCATCTGGTCCTTGTGGTCGTCTAACCTCGGATCCTTCTATACCCATTAAACAACACCTAGAACCCTACGCTCCTATCCAGACAAGCAGATCCCCGCACCGTTGGCCATTTGATTAAGAGAGGATATACTGACACTCAGTACTTTGTAGAATTCTGTCCTGGCGGTAAAGGAGCAGGCATCAATCCATCCGGTATCTCGCCCAAAACTCTCGATTCGGGCGGCACGATAGTAGGAGGTTCTTCAAGCTCCGGGTCAGGTTCATCCAATTCCAGTTCTGGCTCCGGTTCTGAATCAGGAGCTTCCGAGCCGGCTGTTCCGGTATCAACTTCGACTTATGCTCAAGTAGGTGCGACTACACCACCCGCGGTACCTACTACATCTGTTCCCGTTGGCGGTGGTGGTGGAGCATCATCATCTGTCGTAGCTGGTGGCGGCGGTGGAGGAGGAGGAGGAGGAGGTAGACATTCCCATGGTGGTTACGCATTAGATGTAGGGGGTGATGGAACCACGACAATTACTCAAGGGAACACTGTGGTGGTTGAAGTCACTCAGACGGAAGTTGTCACTGCTCGAAATGAAAGGAGGTCGAGATTTCAACGACGATTTTAATTTTTTAGGTGGATTGTATTGTGTAGAAGTGTTCGGATCATGTAACAATATGACAGGGGACGTTATGGTATCTATGGACCGAGTGGAGAAGATGCTGACCATTCCATGAGAGTCTGATCATGATACTACCAGCGTACATACTCTAGCGCAGCATGTTGTTCAACAAACGGTAGCATGACTTTGTTCTCATAATCTCACCCTGCAACTGATTTTTACTCGCTCCTGAGGGTGTAAGTTCCTGTCTTGATTGATGGAAGTGAACCTTTCAGAGTTGACACATATGGTGAGTGTCCATTGATCTGAGGTCTCCCTCATCCCTCTAAAAGCTTGCTACTAGTATTCACACATCCGTGAAGCTGTGTATTGCCCTCATGGCGCTCACGCTTATGGTCTTGCCAAGCTGTAGACAACCAGTCATGTTTTGTCACAAGGTATCTCAAAGTTCCCATCTTGATCAATTGGTGGACGACTTCCCTATTTTTGTCCACAAAATCCGCCCCTTCTGATCCAATTTTGGTGCGAGTTTTTACTGTCAAAACTGGCACTTCATCAGGTTGTTGCTCTTTTAGAAACTTCTCGTATATCATTTGAAAACTGCGCAAAGAGTCGTCAAGTACACCATGATGTTAGCCGATAGAATCGGGCCAGGACGGCCGAACCGCCGTTAGAATTACCCCTTCCGTCGAATATTTCTCCGTTCAACTTGTCCTCTGAACTTTATTCGATCGTCTCTGGTTTTATGCGTGTGAGTGGAATGTGATAAGTATAGAGACATGTAGAATTGATGCATGCTCTTTTTCCCCTCTGTATTATCATCTAATTATAAGCGAAAACAGATTAACAGTCGGAGTCCACATACCTCTGTGTATAACTAAGGCAAGTTCCTACTTCTACTCTTCTCATTATGACCTCTGTGTCGACTAAGATCTCGTTTGAGAATCTCCCCATGTTATCCTACGATCCATCAACGTATGCTTCGTGGAGGAAGGCGATCAAGGTGTATCTACAGATAGGCGACGTATGGAATGTCGTCTCAGGTAATGATACCAAACCTGGTCGCATAGGGGTTAGGCCGGCAGCGGAGAGGGCGGGATCAGTACCTCCTACCACGTCCGTCGAAGGACAAGTGGTTGGTAGAAGGATTACTGGAGAAGAGTTGAAGGAGTGGGAAAAGTGGCAAGCGAGAGAGAATAAAGCGCAAGGGATGATCAAGGGAACAGTGTCGGAAGCTGTAATGCTTGATTTATCTGAGAAGATGTCAGCTAAAGAAATGTGGGATTACTGCTTGAAAATGCACGTAACAGCCACGAACGAGAATCAGAGAAACGTCCGTCAAGCATTGTTTAGCTATGACTTGAGGGAAGACGTGACGGCCGAAGAGATGGCTGAGCATGTAGAGGATTTCTCGAAGACAATGGCTGAAGCGAAGTTGGTGGGATTGAACTTTGACTCACAGGCTCGAGCAGGTCTATTCCTCAATACCATCCTGGCACCAGCATACAGGATCATCCACGTAGAACTAATGTCCGTACCCGAAGAGGACAGGACCTGGGACAAAGTATTGTCGATCTTTAACGCAGAAACGGCGAGACGTAAAGCGCACCCTGTTGGTAGGACCAATAGAAAGGGATTCACGATGTTTGCCGAACGGGATAAAGGAATGAGGGTGAACCGAGATAATATCTCTGATGGTCAGCCCAGGAAAGAAACCAGAAAGTGTTATAACTGTGACACTGTAGGACATCTAGCGAAGTACTGTCGTAAACCTAAAAGAGAGGATACGAACAGGAAAGAAAACACAGATGGAAAGGATGGAAGTAAAAAGAAATGGAGGAATAATAAGAATAATAAGAAAGGACATACGGTCTCAAAAGATGAGAACCAGTCCAAGGATAACTCCAAAACCTCCTTGATGTATTTGTCATTGGATGGTGAACACGAGGCGTGGGCCGGGATGGCCATGTCGACAGAATCGTGGTTCGATGATGACGAAGGGTACACGAGTAATATTGTATGGCCCGAAGAAATCGAAAACCCGTGGGTTGAGGATAATGAGTGGGTGGGATTAGCTACAGAGTCTAATGACGTAAGCCACACTCGTGTAATCCCCACCTGGGTGGTGGATAGTGGTGCTACTCACCACATAACTGTTCCTCACAGGTCAATAACGACGAATATTAAAAGACTAGTGGAACCGAGAGTGTTCGGACTAGCATCTGGCAAGTCAATGACGGCTTGGGAAACAGGTGACATTAACCTCGAACTAGATTCAGGACAGAAAATGGTACTGAAAGATGTACATCACGTCCCCACAGCAAAGATAAGTCTTCTCTCCCTTTCGAAGTTACTCTCATGGGGGTGGAAGGCGAATCTAAGCAGCGGTGGTGGATGGATAGGTAAAGGTAAAGAGAAACTAGGTTTGAGAAAACATGACTCACTGTGGTCGGTACGATTCGGCAGAGCAATGTCTGCCGCGATGATTGTGATATTGACACCGAAGGCGACTTCACCACTTGAATCTGAGCATCAGTGACTCGGACATATAGGTGTAGATAAACTAAAGAATCTAGGTAGACAGGGACTATTGAAGAAGGACTGGGACACGTACAAGAACGATCCCTTTACGACTGATAAATGTCCCGCCTGTATGCAGGCCAAGATAACACGTCTACCAAAGAATAAAGAAGCACCAATGTTAAAAGGAGATGGTGAAGGAGTAGGAATGGATGTCGATATCACTGGTCCGTTCGGTCCGGCGATAAAAGGTGAACGATATTTCTTCGTTGGTGTGGAAAGGGCGAGTCGAATTGTATTCGCGATACCAATAACGACGAAGAACGAAGCGTCTGATATTGTTCGACAGTGTATCTCGAAATTAGAGAAACAGCTTGGTGAAAGGGTGAGGGTGATTAGGTCTGATGGGGGAGGTGAATTCGATAGTCTCGATATGAGGGAATTCTACCTGTCAGCAGGGATCAACCACTACATCACACCAAGATACACACCAGAATTAAATGGAGTGGCGGAAAGAATGATACGTACCTTGAAGGGGATGGTATCAACGATGTTATTCGACTCAGGACTACCGAACGAATATTGGTCCTATGCTGTCAGATACGCCGCCATTATAATCATGAAAACATCGATTGGTGTCAGCGGTAAATCAGGCTGGACATCACTCACGGGAAGAGACACGAATCTGGATAGCGTGTGGAGATTTGGTGAACGATGTTTCGTTCAGATACCAAGGGAGATAAGGCTGAAGTCGAACTTCACGATACCTAGGGGTTCGTCAGCCATTATACTAGGTCAGGATGAGGGCGTGAGCGGTTGGATCGTTAGAATGGACGGATCGGGACGAATCGAACACTCACGAGACGTTCGTCGCTCGACAGGACGAATGGTGACTACTAGAGAGTCGCCAGATGTCATCCAAACCCCTCTCGACACCATCGAAGTAGACCTAGACCCCGTCGTCAACGAAGAAATTTTCCCTGACGACCGCTCAGAAAGTGGCGAACAGGAAAATAACGATAATGAACAAGGAAATGATGTTGATAGAGACAACTCACCTGATCCAGGTCCACAACCTACTGAAAGACGATGTGGACAGGGCATCTGGGGAGGAAATTGGATCTATGAGAACGATATTGTCGAAAATGAGAGAAATGATGAGAAAGGAAGAAATGATGGGGATGAGGGGATCCTGACGACACGTCACGGACAAATTATTCGACCCCCCCACCGTTTTGCAGGCCTAACGGACTTGTTTCTGGAGTTTGGTCGCGAGCCTAATAAGTTAGTCTCACTCGCCTCTATTGCAGGTATCGAAAGTGATACTTCTCTCATTGATCCCATCTCTCCTGAAGAAGCAGTAAACGACCCAGATGGTGAGAAGTGGCTAGAATCCATGGAGAAAGAGATATCCAACATAGAATCTAAGGATACATGGGTGGAAACGGTACTTCCACCGGGACGAAAAGCCATTGGATGTAAATGGGTATTCAAAGTGAAGACAGATTCTGAGGGAATCTTACTAAAGTACAAGTCACGAGTAGTAGCTCAAGGTTTCTCACAGAGGACAGGTGTCGACTACGAAGAAACATTCGCACCTGTAGGTAGATCGGGGTCGTTGCGAATACTCTTGACTATAGCGGCCACCGAAGATCTCGAAATTCGTCAGGCCGATGTCGAAGGGGCGTATTTAAACGGTAAACTCGATGTCGAAATTTACATGAAGTATCCCAAGGGGATAAAGCCGAAACCTGGATGTAATACCTTGAAGTTAATAAAGTCTCTTTACGGTTTAAAACAATCTGGTAGGACATGGTGGATAGAACTCGGCGAAGGATTATCTCACCTAGGTTTTTCAAGAATCGAGTCAGATTGGGGTCTTTACTACAGACCAGAAGGGAAAATCGAAGGAAAGGGAGCAGCAATACTGCTAGCCTATGTCGATGATCTGGTATTAGCCACAAAATTGAAGGAAGAAGCAAAGGAAATTTTCGATGGGCTAGGGAAAAGGTGGATAATAACCGACCTGGGGGAGATAAGTACCATTCTCGGTATGAAGGTAACAAGAAACAGAGAAGAGAAGACAATATGGTTAAACCAACCAGCGTACATCGATAAGATAGTTCAGAAGTTTCCTGAAAACGACTTACATCGAGACCGAAAAACGCCGTTACCTCTTACTGCGAAAAATCCTTCGATGTCAGAGGTGGAAAGTGAAATTCGACCATTTCAAGAATTAATAGGGTGTCTACAGTGGTTAGCCACATGTACACGACCCGATATATCCTATGCAGCCTCATACCTTGCTAGGTACCTCACCAAACCGACGAAGAAAGTATGGGAGGAAGGGATAATGGTAATTACCTACCTTAGGTCCACTCGTTTACATGGTATTCGTCTTGGTGGCGAGGCTAGCGATCTAGCAGGATGGGTTGATGCCGATTGGGCAGGATGTAAAGACACACGACGATCAACGACAGGCTGGA